AAAAAAAAAACCAATTTATGTTCATTTATATATAATTAAATATAAATCATATGGGCGACTATATATACCATCTATATATATACCATCAAATATGATTGCTGCAACAACGACAACAAAAACATCAACTGCCACGACAACAACAACAACAACTGCATCAACAACAACAACCGCTACAACTGCATTCAACCAACCAACAAACAAAAAATAATCAACGCCAAAACCAACACAACATAATACCAAATAAATACCAATAGAAAACAATTATAGCTTGTATAGGGGCGGCCAAGATTTTCCCTGCGTTGTTCTATATATATGCGCAGGTGTGTTTCGCCGAAATAATCTACTAAATTGAAATTCATTTTTCAGCCCAACTTAATACCAGTTATTATTATTACTATTATTATTTTTTGCTTGAGTATTTTTTTGTTTTTATTTAGTAGTATATATTTTTGTATAATTTGTATTATTTTCTTTTTATACTTATTTCGAGTTTTTTTTTATTAATACTAAAAAATAATTTCCAAATTTGTATATACCATAAATGAGTTGCGATCTACGAATCGAAATTAACTAAACTAAAAACCAAAATCATAAAAAAAGAAACAGAAAAAGAACAGAAAAACCTCTTTGTTTTCCGCCCACTAAAATGACACAATCATTCCCCCCACGCACACACACGCGCACAGATTTGAGGACAAGGCACCGTTTAGTATTTAGTGCTAGTATTTTGTTGGTATTTAATGCAACTGGCAAACGCACGTAAGCAAAAGACACTCAATCACAGTAAATCAACTATGTATAGATCGAACTTCCTATATATATATATATGTGTATATACAGATATACGCAACATATACTACTTGGAATAATCAAAAATACATTTTGTTGGAGTACGGGTCGTATGCATAATATTGTCTGTAGCAGCAACTTGAAAAGGGCAACTATATACTAACCGTGGTTCGACGACTAAATCGTCTATATTTTTTGCTAATCTATTCTTTTATGCTCTTCAAAAACAAAAAACAAAAATCATAAAAAATACTGTAAAAATACTACAAAAATACTGCAACAATACCACATGAAAAACGAATAAACGCGCAAAATTAGATTTCAAACTAAACAAAATGACGCCAGCCAAACCGTTGGCCACGCCCCCGCGCGCCCCGCCCCCCAGCACATACGCCTGCCAAGCGACAGACTTCAAGTGCGTCTCCCACCCACACACGTGCATCAAGGCGAGCATGGTCTGCGACGGCATCTACGACTGTACGGATCATTCGGACGAGTTCAACTGTAGCCGCGATCTGGCTGCCAAGACAATTGGCCGGACCACAACTGGCGTGGGCGTGGGCGTAGGCGTTAGCCATGGACCGGGCAACACTTTCAAGCGCTGGAAGAAGAGCTGGAGGAAGCATCAGCCCTGGCAGCAGCAGGCAGATAAACAGCAACGAGTTGGGCAGCCAAAGGCCAAAGGCTTCTTCGGTTCGTCTTAAGTTTTTCATAATTTCTTGTTTCTTTTCTTCCACTCACTAGCCTCTCTCCTCACTCTTACTCTGTCTTCCTCTCTTTACCTACCTGCCTCCCTCTTTCTCGGTCCATAACTGTTGAACTCTAATTTTCCTTTATTCTCCATCTTGACTCGAAGTCTTCTGATCTCATGTTGCTGTCGAATCGAAACAAACTGTAGATTGGAAAACTTGAATGCTCATTCCATCACATCAGATCCTGTCTTTCATGTCATCCAGCTGTCCTCTATCTATATAACTGGCAATCTATCTATCCAACTGTTTTTTGGCTCCTCTAACTACGTTCCGTAGGCGCACAACGAGAAAATCTGCAACAATTGCAAATTCGCACTCAACTCACGTATCAAAGCTAAGAATCTAAATTAGTATATGTATATAAACATATATGCAAACAACAACAATATAAATGTAGCTAAAGCAATTGCAACAACATCGGCAACAACAGCAACAACAACAGCATCTGCAAAAACAACAACAACAACAGCAATTAGGCGTAGTGTGTGTGGGTAGACCTGCTTTTATTTCTTTACCATGTGCAGGTTCTTAGTGCGTAAGTCGTAACGGTAGTGTTATCGATAACGATTACAACAAAACTACAACAACAAAACGATAACGAAAAATGGTGCTGACGCGCGCATGTCGAAAAATCAAAGCATTTGTATTTGTTCCTCTTGGTCTCGGGCTCGTTTGCATGCGGGTAACTCCAACTAACAAAAGCTGTATCGAAATACTTTGCAAATATCGATAAATATATCGAACAAAATTTTGTAAATAAAATGTAACACACACTCACACACATAAACACAAACCCGCACACACACACACACATACCTGACTAGCCAAATAAATTTCGAAAAAAATATATAAAACTAAATATTTCTTTCGATCGATCAACAAAAATTGCCACAAAAACTACGAAAAAAATACTTCCTAATCCATAACATAATATGTGTAACTGACTATTGAGTAGAACCCATATTGTATTGGTAGCCTAGACATATGTGTGTATGTAGCTAAGTATATGTATCTGAATACGTATTGGCCTAGTGGTAACCCCATATATACTATATATGTATCTCTATATCTCTCACTTGTTATATAATAAGCTGAACGAAAAAATATATACCAAAACAATACCGAAATCTCCATAACTCCCCCCCATTACACATACACATGTACTCGTATATCTGTGTGATTCGAACCAGTAGACATTTTTAGTACTTTATGTAGCTATGTGTTCTAGTGTTATCATTTCTATATATTTCTAAATACTATTATTTTTGATTGTATATTTTATTAATTTGTTTCAAAAACAAAACAAAAATTCGCATCACTATTCTTACTCTCTATCCGCCCCAAACCAAAAAAAAAAAAAAAAAAAAAAAAAAAAAAAAAAATACTACATCTATGTATTTATTTGTCTAACTAGAAAAAAAATATAGATAAAAAATCATAAAGTATGACTAAACAAAAACAATAAAGTTTATGCGACTTTGGCATGCCAAAGCCTTAATATGCCCTTGTAGAAAGTAAAGGTTTGCGACATATCTATCTTATCGCAAATCATGGAACATCTCTTATATGGGATATACCTCTTAGTCTGCGAAAGAAATTCCTTCTAAGGTCTTTGTAGACTTTTGTCTGAATATGTTCAAGTTCTTTTCTAAAGACATTTATTTATTTTATGTTCCAGAGAAAGATCTGAAGATATTTCAATTTACTTGGATCTATCAAAATATATACCTCGGGATAAATCGATAATAAAAATTATATCCCCTTAATAGAAATTCGTTCTCAATAATTCTCAATAATTTAAATTTCTATGTAAATCGAAAAAAAACTGATCCCCTTGTCATTTCGAATTATTGGGACTCTACTGTCTATGAATCCGAAAATCTGTCTTAATCTGTATATGTTCATCTAGCCATTCCTACTCAATTCATCAGCTCTATTTAATTAAAGGTGTCTGTTCACCCATTTCCTAGGTATATCTTAAGATATGTCTGTCTGTACTCTAATCCGTTCAATTCTACAAGGGCATCTAAAGATGTGAATGCGTATTCAAAAGATACGCACTCGCACACATGCTCACACTGACACACATACATACGATCTGTACTATCGATAGATCTGTCGTTGTTAGCGTTCGATAAACATATATCGCATCATGTATCTGTATAAATCGCCATTTTTGACATGTATTTTGCTAACTGCTTTTTTCTCTCTGTGTATTTTTTACTATCTTACCTTCCCATCTCAATGCCTCATCTCACACAAACATACACTTACACACACATACACACATACACACATACACTCGCCGTTCACACACACACAAACACAAAACACACACACACACACATGCACTTGATCATCCCATAACCCAATTGTGAATTGTCGCCCAATTGTGAACGTTGCAACCGCCGAAACATCCTCGACTCGTCGTTCTCGTCGTCTTCGTCGTTGTCGTCGTCTTCATCCTCGTACCGCTTCGTCTTCGTCCTCTGTTGTGTCTACTGTGTATTGTGCCGCCGCCTCCTCTGGCTGTGGCTGTGACCGTGGTTGTGGTCTGGCTTTGCTCTGCAGCGGGCATGACCCAACCGAGCGCCTACCTGCCGCCCTCGCGGCCAACGCCCCCACCAGAGCCAGTGGTGCCACGTGACTACAGCCTGAAGCTGGATCAGCAATCATCGAAATTGCACGTTGGCGAATCGACCGAAGTTGAGTGCTATTCCTCGGACAACAGCTACACGGATGTGATCTGGGAACGTTCCGATGGTGTGCCACTCTCCGCCAATATTCAGGTGAGTGCCCTAAACCAACATAGATCCAACATTCCAGTTCATTTCTCTCTCGCTCTCTCTCTCTCTCCTTCTCTCTCTATGGTTTACTCCACCGCAGCAAGTGGGCAACCGTCTGGTCATCAATCAAGTGACAGCTGCGGATGCGGGCAACTATGTGTGCAAATGCCGTACGGATGATGGTGATCTCTATACGACCAGCTATGAGCTGGCCATCGAGGAGCAGCCCCATGAGCTGCGTCGTCCGAAGATCGTGCATGCCAATGTCGGTGATCAAGCCCAGCTGAGCTGCGGCGCCGATGAAAGTCGTCAGCCCACTTACCGCTGGTCACGCCAATACGGACAAATGCAATCCGGACGCGATCTGCTCAGCGTAAGTACAGAGGCCAGACCCCTCCGAGCTGAGAGAGGGATCTGAGCATCAGGGTCTAACGAACTGTTCTCTTGCAGAGTGAACTGTCGCTGCGGGGCGTGCAGGCGAACGATGCTGGCAGCTACATCTGCACAGCCGTCTATAACGATGGCGAGTCCGTGGACTATCCGAGCATTTTGGTCATCACGGGAGTCATCCCACAATTTAGTCAGCAGCCACTGAGCTACATGAGTTTCCCCACTCTGCCAGACTCCTCGTTCAACTTCAACTTTGAGATCACCTTCCGGCCGGAATCCGCCAACGGCGTGATCCTCTTCAATGGGCAAACGCGTGGAGCGGGCGATTACATTGCGCTCTCGCTGAAGGACCGTTATGTGGAGTTCCGTTTCGACTTTGGCGGCAAGCCGATGGTGGTGCGCGCCGAGCAGCCCGTGGAGCTGAACGAATGGCATACGGCACGTGTGCATCGCTCACGTCGCGACGGCTACATTCAGCTGGACGAACAGCATCCGGTCGCCTTCCCCACACTCACCCAAATACCACAGCTGGAGCTCATCGAGGATCTGTATATTGGCGGCGTGCCCAACTGGAATCAGCTGCCCGCCGAGGCGGTGGCCCACCAAACGGGCTTCGTTGGCTGCATTAGCCGCCTAACGCTCCAGGGACGCACCATTGAGCTGATGAAGGACGCCAAGCTGAAGGAGGGCATCACCAGCTGCAAGCCTTGCGCCGCATCGCCCTGCGCCAACGGCGGCATCTGCCTGGAAAGCCAAACGGAACTCGCCTACACCTGTGTCTGCCAGCAGGGCTGGACCGGCCGCAACTGCGCCGTCGAAGGAACCCAATGCACTCCGGGCCTGTGCGGTGCCGGACGTTGTGAAAACACGGAGCTGGACATGGAATGCCTCTGCCCACTCAATCGCACCGGCGATCGCTGTCAGTACATGGAACACCTAAACGAACACAGTCTCAACTTCAAGCGAAACAGCTATGCAGCCTACAAGTGAGTAAAACAACTCAGCCTAGTCGTACCCAATCCAGCCTAAACATAGACATACAACAGCTGAGAATATGGAAGAGGTTCTGGCATTTAAGTTTGCTTGGGACTAGGTCCGAACTAACTAATATAAAGAAGCGTCGCTGTACATTCCACATAATAAAGGCCTAAGGCACAAGAAATTATATAGTCTCAGTCTAACGAGAGCTTAAAATGTGGAACGAGAATAACAGGGATCACAAGATCTCAGCTAGATAGACCTACCTAAGTATGTAAGTCTGTTAATTCGACAGAAGCATTTGTATGAGATTCGATCTGTTAAGCACCGTCTCACATTGTCCAGAAATTAGCCTAGTCGTAATATTGAGACAAACTGATTTAATAAACCCTTCGACTTTCTTAACTCGAGCTCAAAATTTCTACACTCGGGTTGATTAAATTTCCCTGTCGAAACTTTGTCATAGAGCTGAGAGAGCTGCGGTTTCTCCTAGTTTCCTAGACTTCTCGCATTACTCAACATCATAAAGTTCGATCCCCAAACTTAGACAGTATATTGGTGTTTACAATACCTAAACACCCAATACTTTCTTAGCACTACCCAACCAGACAGCAACTCTCTGCCCTAACTGAGATAGCCAATTGTGATTGAAATGTCTTTCCTGACTTTACAGTACTCCTCGTGTATCGCGCATCAATGTGACTCTATCGCTGCGTCCATCCAGCTTGCGGGATGCGGTGCTGCTGTACACGGCCGAGTCGAAGCTGCCCAGCGGCGACTACGTGGCGCTCGTGCTGCGCGACGGTCATGTGGAGCTGATCATCAATACGGCTGCACGCCTTAAGCCTGTCGTGGTGCGCTCCCAGAAACCGCTGCCATTGCACAGATGGACACGAGTCGAGCTGCTGCGTCGCCAGGGCGAGAGCATTTTGCGTGTGGGCGATGAGCCGGAGCAGAGGGCCAAGGCGGCCGGTGCACCACGCACCCTCTCGCTGAAGACGCCGCTGTATGTGGGCGGCTATGATCGGGCCACGGTCAAGATCAATCGGGATGTGAACATCACCGAAGGCTTCGATGGCTGCATTTCGCGCCTCTACGACTCGATGCGTCCTATCCAGTTGCTGGCTGCCATCAAGGATGCGGCCAACCTGCAGAATTGCGGCGAGCTCAATGAGATCGGGAGCAACGACTTCGATGGCGAGCTACCTGCGGTGCCTGTGGTGCCGACAAGCAACAGTCGCGTCGCGGAGGAGCAGCAGCCCTATGCGATGTCGCCCTGTGCCAACGAGCCCTGCGAGAACGGCGGCACCTGCCAGGAGGTGGAGCAGCAGGCGATCTGCGCCTGCAGCCTGGGCTACAGCGGCAAGCACTGCGAGGAGCGTAAGTGTGATGAATTGAAGACTATTTTGAGCTCCTCTCGATCTCGATCTAATTGAACTGGTTTCTATTCCGTGCAGACATCCAAGTGAGCTTCAATGCCTCGTTCCGCGGCAATGGGTACCTGGAGGTGGATCGCAGCCAGTTTAGCTCGGAGATAGACCAACAGTACACCTCGGCGGTGGTGGTGTTCTCCACCAGCAAGCCCAACGGCCTGCTGCTCTGGTGGGGCCAGAAATCTGGGGAGGAATTCACCGGCCAGGACTTCATAGCCCTCGCCGTCGTCGATGGCTTTGTGGAGTACGCTCTGCGCCTGGACGGCGAAGAGGTGGTCATACGCAATGGCGACACGCCCGTGGACGATGGCCAGCGCCATATTGTGCTTGTGAAGCGTGCGGACAACACTGCCATACTCGAGGTCGATCGCATATCCGACTCCGGCGAGACGCGACCCACCAGCAAAAAGGAGATGCATCTGCCGGGCAATGTGTTCATTGGTAAGTGTCACAGACCAAATACCCAATGCATGGGTCCTCACGTTCATTTGCCCATCTCTCAATTTCAGGTGGCATTCCGAACATTTCTCGTTTCACGGGCAAACGCTATACGCACAACTTCAACGGCTGCATTGTCTTTGTGGAGGGCGATGCTGTTGGCCAGGTCAATCTGGGCAAGGCCTCTGTCAGTGGCGTCAACGTGGATACCTGTCCTGTGTAAGTGCCTGAAAGTTCTTCTTCAAATCAGTTAGCTTTAAGTCTATAGACTATAGACAATAGTCGAACAGGTTAGAGTAGGACACGCAAATAAGCTTGGGTAGATATCGTTCTATATGGGAAAAAAGGATTTCCCTAGAAAGTAGGACATTTTAAATTTCTCTTTTTGGCGCTCAGATTAAGATTCAATTAGACCACACTAAATTATATCATGTCATCTCCTGGGATCAAGGAACCCTTGAGTTTAAGTCTGGTCTAGAATCCGTATAGCCAATATAAAACATCGAAAATTGCAGTTTTCTTATAGATCTAGGCTAAACTCGGGCTGAAGGTTTTGGGGTTTCCATATTTGTTTTTCGTTGTGTCTTGTAACTTATCTCTCAATTCTGCACACTGCTTGCGGCTCTGGCGGAGTTTAGGGAATACTGGAATCCATCCAGTCTCATCTATCACGACTACGATCCGAGCGATAAGAGGTATGATCCAAATTTCTTCGATAAGATCGATCAACCACCGCCAGTGCACATCATCTATCCGCGACCCAATCTCAACCAGCTGCCCCAGAATGTGAATGGCTATGCCTACGATACGAGTGTGAGGGCGGTGGGCGTGGCAGTGACACCATTAACCCTACTCATAAGCAGTCTCATCTGGCTGTTGCCTGCGCCCAGCTAAGCGCCCAGCACACTGGCGCCATCTGTTGGTCGCATGGAAATCTATCAAAATGAAAATCGAAAACAAAAACAAAAAATACAATTATCGTGCCATATCATTGCAAAATATCATGTTATATAAATACATATACAAAGTATATATAGCTAAAGCATAGAGAAATATTTGAAATAACTGTTTACTACACGATCCTAAAGAAGTCGAGCATATATAGTAAATATATATATACATATAATGTTCTTCTTTTTTTGTAGTTAGCACCGATATATTGTTAAAACAGGAGTCGTTAATAATTTTTTTTTTAGCTGTTAAGAAACTATAGTAATATACTATAGATAAGGGATAGTCAAGATACATACATATATATTCAATGTGGAACGTATAGCTAATATAGCAAAAAGGAAACATACTAAATTCAA